TTTTTTTTTTTTTTTTTTTTTTTTACCGGGGATTGAACTCGGGTCCTTGCGCTTGCAAGGCAGGCCACCAAACCGCTGAGCTAAATCCCTGGCCCTCCATTACGACTTTTATTTACTTTACCAGGAGTTTTAATAAATGATTTTTCAATTTAATTATTGAATGGGTCTTTAAACTTATCCTAGTCAACAATCAGATTCAGTGATTTGTTTTTTTCTCACCTATATGTATTGAGATAATTATTACTAATACTACTGTACTCATAAATACTTGCTACATTCATTTTAGCATCCAACATTATGTATTCATTATCAATTATAGCTCATAGAGGCAAGGATTTTTTTCCTTTTATAAAATGAATATGGAGCCTGAGATTTAGCTTAGTGGCACTGAGCCTGCCTGGCAAGCACAAGGTCCTGAGTTTGATCCCCAGTACCAAAAAAAAAGTATATGAAAAATTAAGACCTGTCTGGCTTAACTTTGTAATTTATCCATTCATTATTTCCAGTTCAGTTAAGTGTCTTAATAATGTGGTCTATGATCTACAGTTACATATATGAGATTCTGGATATACATACATACACAAAAGTGTGCAAGTGAGAGTATGAGTTTTCACTAAGGTAGATACAGGTTCAGACCCAGGCTTGAACACTCTGAGCCCGTGGGCAAAGCACTTATGTAGTCTTCCTTCTACCAGTAAAACAGAAGCTGTGATAGCAAATGAGAATAACGTATTTCAAAGTATCAATGTATGATAACTACCTCCAAATGCCTAACACATTACAAGGAAAAATATTACTTCATTCTCTTTTATCCCAATCTATAAGAGCAATAAATACTGTTTCTGTTCCAATTTATTTTTAGACCATTATTAAATTCCCTAAAGTAAAAGCAATTTGGCAATATGGATCATGAATTTTAGATGATCACATACTTTGTTCCAACATTTTCACTTTGAGGATTCTATCTTCATGAAATAATCTAAAATGCAGAAATTGTTTTATGCACAAGGATTTCACTGCAGTTTATTATAACTACAAATAACCAGAAACTCTAATTATGAGCAATTCATATAAACAGTATGCCATTATTAAAAAGCTGACAAAATAATTCAACTGTGTAAGAAAATGTTTATGGTGCGGGTGAAAAAAAATACAAAATTATTCATATAGTAAAGTCTCAATTGTGTTATCAAATAAAACCCAGAAGAAAATACTGGAAGGAAATACACCGAAGGGCTTATTGTTAGTTATTACAAACTTGTGATTTTTATTATCTTATGTATTTTTCTATTACAGCTAATAGTTTTCTAAAATAATTAATGATGATAACATTAGTGAGAAAAGCAGTAATTATTTATGGAGCACTCACTACATGCAGGCCCAGTTCTAAGAGATTACTGTATTAACTGGGCTAATCCTTGTAACACTGAGATCTAAAAAAAAAAAATTAATTAAAAAAATTGAGGCATTGTGAGATTAAGTCCCTTGCCCAAGGTTATTACAAAGGGTGCCAAAATTTGAATCTAAGTAGTCTGATTGTACAGCTCTTGTGCCTGACTTCTATACTACATTGAAAAGTTTTGCTTTGCTTAAAAATTTTAACCATTAAAAAGGCATATATCAATCCTAACCTTGAGATCTTGACTTACTGCTTTCTTTCAGTACTGAGTTCAAAACTATACAGATTTCTTATATGTTTGTAAAACTGAACACGATAAACAGGGTTTCTGCATTTTAACACTGTCACTGACAGCTTTCAGAAAAACTCAGCTCATGGGAGGGCTTTAACATTATATAAGAAATGCCAGTACGGCTGAGGATTTAGGTCAGTAGATTCTTGCCTGTCTGGAAAGTACAAGGTCCTCCTGAGTTCAATCACTGGTACAAAAAAAAAAAGAAGAAAAAAATAATGCCTGTAATCCCATCACTTGGGAGGCTCAGGCAGAAGGAACCCTGTGAGTTCAAGGCCAGTTCTGGGCTACATAATGAGTTTGAGGCCAGAACTACATAGTGAGATTGTCTCAAAAAAAACAAAAAGACCAACCCAAACATAATAAACATGATATAAGAAAAACCACAATCATGAAAGCAATGAATAATATAATAACGAGTGTTGGTGATGTTAACATTTACAGGGCTGCTCAGTGATTCTGAGACCACCTGTCTCACAAGAGCAAGGTCCTGAGTTCGACCCCCGGCACCAAGAAACAAAACAAAACAACCCCCCCCCAAAACAAAACAAAGCAAAGAAAAAAAAAAATCACAACCAGAATAGTGTATCTATTTTTACCAAAATCTTACTCCACTCCTATTATATAGTAGTAAAAGGATTTTGGACTGGAGATGGAAGTTTAAAAAATAATTTTATAGATATTTTAGTGAGAGGGATTTAGTAATTCCTGACCAGGTTGAAAATGCAACCACATCAAAGCTAATTTAAGGTGGAGGGTCCTTTTAGGAAAAAGAAAATGGAGCAGTAATACAGCACTTCAATAGGCTTACGTTAAATCACATCAAGTAAAAGACAATCTGCCAAGTTATGTATTTATACATTGATCTGCCAAATAGTTTTTTAAACTAGTATTAAAAAAAACAAAACCTAGTATTTCCCGTTTGCAGTTCGAAGTTTTCAACTTGGTGTTCTGTAGGCACAACAAGGCTTCAGGGGAGGCAGAATGTAGAAAACAGAATCCTCCTATTTCACTAAAAACAACTCCTTACTACTGTAATACGAAAGTTTTGACATAACATGTACGCTTTAAATTCAGAGCAAATTTTTGTTATCCTAAAAAAACGTGCACATCTGGACGGCCATTTTACAATTCTCTATTTCCAAGTGCCTCCTACACCAAACATCTTGTATTTTAAAAATATCTTTTCTTGGGAGAAGGTAATAACTTAAGTATTCATCCTTCAAGTCATCACCGTTTCAAAGAAGGTCTTTTATTAAGCTTCTTAACACAACTGTCAAAACCAATTTGTGGAAGGTTCCAACTTTAAGTTATCTGCTGACCGACCAGAACGACAGTGACTAAGACAAAAGATTTACATTGTAAAAAATCCCTGCAAAACTGAGTTGATTTTTATAATCAGTGAACACGCGATCACTTTTAAATGAAAACAGCCATCCCCAAGTCAGTTTGCGAGGGAGGGTCTGCTCCTCGGCAGCGGTGTTCCCAGTTGCGCGCGTGCGTAGGAGTGGAGGCAGAAGTGTAAAAACCACAAGCCCACGCGAAACTCGTACTTACAAACACTGAAATTGTGCAAACATTCTGTGAAGCCAAGAAGCTCCCAAAGGGCAAGAACAGCCGGGAGAAAGAGATCTGACGGATGAGTGCGAAAGAAAAGTTGTGCGCGCGGACCCTGGACGTCGGGCCAAAGGGTCGGCGGCGGGACAAAGGCGGGCGTCCGTCCCGCAGCCGGAGCGACGG